CCACAGAAATGTATACCTTTGCCTGTCTGCCATTTCTTTGCCATTCCAGGTAGTCCCTTGGCAAGTTATCCACTTTTCTAACTACTGTGTCTTTCTCTAAGCCCATTGGAAGCGTAAAGGATTCCCTCAACACTGTTCAAAAGCCTGTGGGATATTGGCAAGGATGGGTATTCTTGGTTCCTTCTGTTTAACTGCATTCTGCTGCACCCTAGCTCGTGCTTTTAAAAAGGTATCTTTGTTTTGGGTTTTTTTTTCATTCTTTTTTGAGGTTATTTTCCCAAAGCACGAGTCCTCTACTTTTGAAAGTTCACAACTGTGCTAGTTTGCTAGGGCTGCTGCAACAAAATACCACTAACTGGGTGGCTTAAACAAAGGGAATTTATTGTGTCACAATTCCAGAGGCTAGAAGGCTGAGATGGAGGTGGTGATAGGGTTGGTTTCTTCTGAGGACTGTGAGGAAGAGATCTGTTCCGTGTCTCTCTCCTTGGTTTATAGATGGTTGTCTTTATGTTCACATGGTATTCTCCCTGTAAGCATGCTGTGTCCAAATTGCCCATTTTATAAGTTCACCAGTCCTCGTGGATTAGGATCCCACCCTAATGACTTCATCTTAACTTGTATATCTCTGTAGAGACCCTATCGCCAAATGATGTCATATTCTGAAGTAATAAGCATTAAGACTTCTTATGTATTTGGGGGAGATACAATTCAACCCATGGCACCAATTAATATTCTTTTTTCCTCTATTTTTTTTTAATACAGAAGAAGCTCTACTCAAAGTTAAAAGATCCCAATCCAACACCTAAAAAATTTATGTAAAGTAAAAGGAGAGAAAGAAAAAGCCCCTATTTCCATCCAGCTCTCATCCCCAACTTGACTGTTACTTTTCCATGACAGTCAGTACATAAAGACTATCTCATTTTTAAAATTTATTTATTTTTAAAATTTATTTTTGGCTGCGTTGGGTCTTCGTTGCTGTGCGCCAGCTTTCTCTAGTTGTGGTGAGCGGGGGCTACTCTTCGTTGCGGTGCGTGGGCTTCTCATTGCGGTGGCTTCTCTTGTTGCAGAGCAGGGGCTCTAGGCGCATGGGCTTCAGTAGTTGTGGCTCGTGGGCTCTAGAGTGCAGGCTCAGTAGTGTGGCACACGGGCTTAGTTGCTCCGCGGCATGTGGGATCTTCCCCGACCAGGGCTCGAACCTGTGTCCCCTGCATTGGCAGGCGGATTCTTAACCACTGCACCACCAGTGAAGCCCCTATCTCATTCTTTTTAACAGCATGAATTGCATTAGGTTTTATGGTTATACTGCAGTTTAACCATTCCTCTTCTTCCTGATGAACATTCAGGTTGTTTTCAGCTTTCGGCTATTACAAAGTATACAGAGATAATTCTTGTATACATCTCTTTGCATATGTGGGTTTTTTTGGTAGGATAAATTTTTTAAATTGCATGTACTGAGTCCAAGGAAATGAACACTTAAAAATTTTAAAGATATTGTTAAATTAGCCTACCAATTTATGCTACCATCAGCAGGATATGGGAGAAAGTTCCTCTTTTCTCTAAGCCCTCTCCACCACTGAATGATGTCAGTTTTAAAAAAAACCAAAAATACTTTGCCTGTACCATAGAATAAGAATATCTCATTCTTTAATTTTTATTCTGTCACTAGTGATACTTAGTATCTCTTTATTTATTGGCTATTTTATTTAATTTTCTGTGAATTTATCTCTGTGAGTTCTCTGCCTGTTTTTCCTTGGAGGTATTTGTATTTTTCTTATTACTTTATTGAAGCTCTTTATATGTTATGGATATTAGCCCTTTGTCCATTATATATAGCACAAATATTTTATCCAGTGCGATATTTTATTTTTTATGCTATTGTAAATGGAATTGTTTTTGTAATTTCCTTTTTAGATTGTTCATTATTAGTATGTATAGAAATACAACTGATTTTTGTTTATTGACTTTGTATCCTGCAACTTTGCTGAATTCATTTATTAGTTCTAACACTTTTTTTTGTTGAATCTTTAGGGTTTTCCACATACAAGATCACATAATCTGCAAACAGAGATAATTTTACTTCCTTTCCAATTCGAATGCCTTTTATTATTATTATTTTTCTTGCCTAATTACTCTGACTAGAATTTCCAGTACCATGTTGAATAGAAGAGGTGAAGGCAGGCATCCTTGCCTTGTTCCTGATCTCAGAGGAAAAGCTTTCAGTATTTTACCTTTGAGTATGATGTTTGCTGTGGGTTTTTCATATGTGGCTTTTACTATGATGTGGTAGTTTCCTTCTACTTGTAGTTTTTTTTATTGTTTTTATTATGAAAGAGTGCATTTTGTCAAATGCTTTTTCTGCGTCAATTGATATGATCACATGTTTTTTCCCCTTCATCCTGTTAATGTGTATTATATTGATTTTTTTTCTTTTTTAAAAATCTATTTATTTTACTTGTTTATCTTTGGCTATGTTGGGTCTTCATTGCTGCGCGCGGGCTTTCTCCAGCTGCGGCGAGCAGGGGCCACTCTCTGTTGAGGTGCTTAGGCTTCCTGTTACCGTGGCCTCTCCTATTGCAGAGCACAGGCTCTAGGCGCGTGGACCTCAGTAGTTGTGGCACATGGGCTCAGCAGTTGTGGCTCGTGGGCTCTAGAGCGCAGGCTCAGTAGTTGTGGCGCACGGGCTTAGTTGCTCCGCGGCATGTGGGATCTTCCCAGACCAAGGATCAAACCTGTGTCCCCTGCATTGGCAGGTGGATTCCCAACCACTGCGCCACCAGAGAAGCCCTCTATTGATTTTTTATGTTGAACCATCCCAAATTTTTTCTTGCTCCCCTCTATTTTTCCCCCACGTTGCAGCCATGCAGATCTGATCATGTCTATTTCTTTGATTAAAACACTTAAGTGATTTCCCATTGCTCTGTTAAAAAGACCAAAACTGTTAATACAACCTAGAGAACCTTTGCTTGGTCTGGCCTCGTCTTATTCCATGCATCCCTTAACTCTCAGGGTCTCTAGCCACATTAACCCTTTTTAGTTTCTTGAAAGAGCCATGTTCTAACTCTAATGGCACCCTGGCACATGGTATTTCTTCTGCTTACTCTTGTTTCTCTCCTTGGTACCATTTTATGCATAGAAAACTTACCCATACTTCAGATTTTATCTCTGTCATTTCCTAAATAAAATCTTCCCTGACCCTGCCAATCTAGGTAAAACCTAGATTACATGATCTTATTTTACCATGTGCTTCTTTTGAAGCAAGTAATTTTACACTCACTTGTGTTATTATTTGATTTTAGATTATAACCTCTGTAGACTGTAAATTCCACAAAAGCAAGGGCCATATCTGTTCTGTTCACTGCTACACCCAATAGGGTAGCCCAGTGCCCAGTACATAATCAAAGCTCAAATATTTGTGGAATAAATGAGTGAATGAAGGCTTCTTGGTTTTACTTCTTGATTAGAAAGGTTATTGAATGATTTCAATATTAACAATTCAATTTAATTTTTAGGAAGTTCTATCATTTGGCATTTGTGTGAAAGATGAATTGTACAGACACATCTGAAGGTTAGGAGGACAGATAATAGATTTTGATGATCTCCTAGGCCTCATATAATAAAGGCTTGAATAAAGGCAGCAGCATAGGATGGAGAGGAAGAGGTGGGGTTTGGGGAGAACCATTTAAGAGAGAGAACAACAGGACTTAGTGACTGACTGGATGTGGTCATAGTGATGGAGAAGGAAAAATCAAAGTCTCAAAATGATACATGAATAGTATGAGACACCATTACATAGTGGTTAGGAACAGAGCCTTTGGAGACTTTTTATGTAACCTACTAGCTGTATGACAGAGCAGTTTTACTTCACCTTTGTTTATTTAACTCTGTTAATTATAAATGAATGCCTTCATAGAATTTATGAGGCTGAATAGGTTAATACATGTATGTAAAGTGCCTAGTATTCATACAGTTTGCTGTGAACTTGAGCAAGTCTTTTAACCATCCAAATTTAGTTTCCTCTGATAGAAAATAAGGATAATATATCCCCTGTTCTCCCTGTATCACAGAGTTACTTTGAAAATGTGAAGCCTCTGAAAAATGTAAATTGGTAGTCATGTTAGCTAGGTATATTAATTACATCTAGTAGAAGAAGAGATGATTACTCTCACTTTGTCTTTAATAGGACCTCATCTCTTGTTTCATCTTTGTAAGATATAGGATACATACTGTCCATAAAAACTGGATTAGTAAAATTTACACTACTGGGAACACCTTTCTGCCTGTATAGAGCTCTCTGTGATAAGGGACTAATGAGTTCTCAAGAAGATAAATCTTAACAGGGAGCTAAGGCGATCTGGTATGGAAGGAAGAAGAAAGTAAGATTGTCGGGAACTGACCCTGGAAAGTGGAAATAAGGTGCTGGAAATTGGCATGGCCAATTTTTGGTTGTCTGCTCTGATTCCCTGTAGCTGGGGCTGTGCATATTTTTATGATTGAGTTGTGTATTTTGATCTTTCCTGGCCTTCATAGCAAGCCAGTGAAAGCAGATGGTATGATTATTATTCTGCACATAAGGACAGTAAAAAAAACAGAAGTTAAAGCCCAGAATTCCCAGTCTTTGTTTATTTCACCTGCTATATTGCCTCTTCAAACAGAAATAGCAGATGTTACTGTTCTAAACGCCCATGTTATGTGATATTGTGTACAGGAATTTTGCCTAAGGGCAGCTTAGATATTTTTCCCCTGCTATGTATTTGGTGTGTAATCTTGGCTGAGATTTTTGTTCTCAGCCAGCAATTTCACTTTCCTTATTTTTGACAGACATGTTAATCTCTTTCTTGCTTTTGAATTGGGTCTTGTACCCAGCTTCCTCAATTGCATTTTCCTTTGAAGTTTTTAGTGTTGTATTAGTCCTGTTCCCTGTCTCTCAGTGTTGGTCAGTATTGGTTTACTTCCTTTATACTGTGATCCTAAATAAATTTAGTATATTCTTTTTCCTGCAGGTTTTCTGTGCTTCCTGCTGTAGCTTGAAATGTAAACTGTTATACATGGATAGAAAGGAAGCTAGAGTATGTGTAATCTGCCATTCAGTGCTAATGAATGGTAAGTATTAAAACAGGTTGAATTCACAGTTATTGAGACGGAACAAGAGAATTCCAATGAAGAGACTACTGTTTTTTCCTTCCTTGCTCTACAAGTTGCTCACCTTCTCAAATGTCATAACTTTACCTGAAAAATTTAAAAATACCTTAGCATTTCAGAATTCCTGTGCCTAATTTAATGAATAAATGCTAAAGTCAGGTAAGTTTTGTAGGAAAAAAGGAAATTCTTGTGGAAATCTGGTGCTCTGTGGCTGTTAATGTTCTTGTGAAATGACTGGACTGGGAGTGGGGAGGGGGCTATTGACCACTGAGATGATGAAATATTAAAATTGGGCTGAGGTTTTCCTTTTAAGGGAAGCTTTCTCTTTCTAGGGAATATCTTAATAATTTAGAACACATTCTTATTGACACTTTGGTTCACTCATCTTGTTAAAAATAAATATTTTAGCATCTCGAATCAAATAGAAAATTGCATTTTTCTGTCACTTATCATCTTAATACTACTTAGATTTGTCATAAGAGTAATAGTTTTTAATTTACTTATGTGGTAAAAGAATATGGCCAGGAGAAGGTAAATATAGCTTAGCCAGTGTTCACCTTTTGCAGGACTGGAAATAAATCCAAGGGCATTTTAGTTAAAACAAAACTCCCCAAACAGACAACCCCCGCCCCCCAGAGTATTCTTGTAAAGAGATACAATAAAATTGATTAGGCTGTATAGTATTTTCTCTTTGAGTGCATCTTTGTACAGTTGCCAGAACAGTTACTAATAGACATAAAATGTTGAACTTAGACACCACTGCTGCTTGTGCCAGGATAATGTGTCTCCTGGAGGCTGAAACTTATCTGCTCAAGGCCCCTCCTGCTCTGTGTGTCTGCATTGCTCATAGTGATGTTTTCCTGTTGCTTCCTTATTAACCTATTGCATGTCATTTAATCTGATCTGTTCTAATTTCCTATGGTCCACCCAATTTCCTCCCATTTCTGAATTCTTATAATTTTGATCAAATATGAATTCATTCTCTTTACTCTTAAGGGTCATTTTTCAGATGGTGGTTATTTCACTCAGTGATGATTTCATTTTTGGATATTTATCCACAGATAAGAGCATGCTGCTTAATTTCAATACCTGATACCTCTTTTATTTGTTGAGGTCTTCCAACTTGATGGCTTTTTTTTTTTTTTTTAACTTGGCATAGCTAAAGATGAAGGAAATGGCAGAGGATTCATATGGAATACTTACTTTTTATTAAGCCAAGGATGCCCTTAACAAGGGGATCCTAAAATAATCTACTTTTTGTGGTTTTTCCAACGTCTTTTCCTCTCGCATGGCTTAGCCTGGTCTTTTACTGAATATTTGATTTGATGCTTTTCAGTGTTCCCTATCCCTTTTCCCCTTTCTCCTTTTCTCTTCCTTCCCTCTTCCTGCCAGTGCTTTCAAAGGAACATAGCTGTTGTTTCTAGCTTTGTCCTGCAGTTTGGAGGCAATAAGTATTCAAAATCTTATGGATCATTCTTTGATGTAGAATGAGATTTTTAAAAAGATGCTCCAAAAATTGGGTGGTTTCTATTCCTGGGCATGTGATATTACCTGAACCCAGAAGATAAAATTTATATCTTTCATTTCTGTAGTATCTTTCATCCTATTTACTTTAAAAACAATAGTTGATATGTCAGTATCTATTTAGTAAAATTATAGAGTATACAGAACCTTAACACATCTGTGATCATTCATATTGGTTGATGGCACTTATGTGATATTGGCACATTTTCATGTTCAAATGGGTCCTGTGCTTTTGAGACACACCAAAGATGTGAAATGGTTGTTTTTGATGGATACTTTTACACAGGGTAATGATTGCACAAAAGCAAAATTCACGGAAATGTTGAGATGTGTTCTCCTGAGCTTTAGGCTTCAGAATTTTTAAAATGAGATTTTACCTCAATTAAGAAGAGCCTAAAAACCTAGAAATGAATCAAAAGATATCATATAGTGGAGTTATGTTATTTTAGCCCCTGATTTTGATTTTTGACAGAATTTTATAAAATGCGTTGAATATTAAACCTGCCCAGCCCACCAGGAATGTCTAAATGCTATCCCAGTTGCAAGTCCTTAATAAATTTAATGTTGTTTTACTCCCTCTTAAGGGAGTATATGGTCCCCTTTAAAGAAGCCAGGGGCCTAGTCATTAACCTCAGACTGATCCGCTATCAGTCTATATCAGAAGTATCATGTAATTCTTATTTGTTGCTTCCAAATAGCTTACTTAACTACATGGTCTCCTTTATTGAATAAAATCACCTATCTCCTTAATACCTTCACTAGCTGGAAGAGAGACATACTATGAGTGTTAATTAGGAGGAACTACATTATTTATCCAGTATTGTGGAGGTCTTGATGTCCATATTTTGCAATCCATTCACATTGATTGTGTCTGTATTTGCTTTAGCTCAAGCCTGGGAGAACATGATGAGTGCCTCAAGCCAGAGCCCTAACCCTAACAATCCTGCTGAATACTGTTCTACTATCCCTCCCTTGCAGCAAGCTCAGGCCTCAGGAGCCCTGAGCTCTCCACCTCCCACTGTGATGGTACCTGTGGGAGTTTTAAAGCACCCTGGAGCAGAAGGTAGGGGATCATGTGCTATTCTCTCTCTTTTTCCTGACCAAGTTCCTCTGAAAAGGTGCTGATGTGATTTTACATCACAAGTCTTTAACACACTGCAGATAAGTCCCTTTGGGTGGTTCTTAAAGTGGAAGAACAAGGTGAGAAATGTGTTGAGACTATTTCTGGGCAAGTAAAGAAGAATATTGTGTTGCCTGATATTTTGGAGGCACCTCTAAAAATATGCCAGTACCCTCTCCAACTTAAGAATGGAGTAATTACTTTGCTTTTATTTGAAAAGAGTTGCAGAATTTGAAATCAGCCTGCAAAATCCTAGCGTCATGCCTACCTTAGTGTTCTTTGCAGGAATTTAGTAAGAGATGAAAATAAGAATTCTTTTTTCTGACCAGCCCATTCTAGTATTGCCTTTTGGAATATATATTGCCATTTTCTCTTTTCATTTTTAATCTGTCCCTGTAAAAATATGAAAATACTGTGTTAGGTACACAGACATTTATAAAATCCAGAACTTTAATTCTGATTATATCATATGATAGGTAGAAAATCATAGGTTCAACTTATTTTAGTTTATTATATCTTTATGATTATGATATTGTCAGATGAAAGGCACTTTGTAAGTTCAGGGGATTATCAATAGTAAAAATAACAAATATTTCCTTAAAATGATCTGTCAAGAAGTCTCCCCTGATAATTAAACTCTGTCTTCTTTCATTAATTTTGTATCTTTTTGTCTAGCAATATTCCTTTCCCCTTGTAAAATAGCCCTCCCCTTTTGAAGATCAAAAACTTCTATTGACATTATCATACTCTTCTGAGCTCAGGCTTTCGTTCTTAAAAATCTTTATTCTCTTTACTTCATTTGTTGTTTTTGTTGTTCTTCCCTGGTCTCTCTTTGTTTTGGCCGTTTGAATTGATTTTCAAAACTGGATTTAAAGAGATCATTTCGTCAGACTCAGTTTTCCAGCTTTTCCCCATCCTTTTACTAAAATGCAGACTACTGCATTTCACTATCTGCACTGCCGGATCAGTCTTTTTCTTCTTCAGTTACACTTTAGCCAAAGATCTGGTCAGTTTGCTTCCCAATTCTTACATATCTGTGCCAACTCTTCTTTTATTAATTAATAATTCTTCAACATTCTTCAGGGCATCTTTTGCCTTTTAAAAATACCATATCACTTTTCTAGATATTTTATTCCTACAGAAACCTCATACTTTTAGGAGCTGTGGATGTCTATTTCTAGATATTTTTTCCGGGCTATTAGTTTATTTCCTAGGCACTTCAAACACCTTCCCTAGTTTCTCTGTTAGTGATATGGGACAGAGTATGTGACATAATCGTAGGCATATTTAATGCTTTAAAGCGAAGTGTTTTAAATCTTTACATATAAATTACAGAAGTAAGGAGTATATTTAAATGTGTATTTTTATTAATTTATAACCACTTTTATACAGTTACAATTATATTTAGAAGTATAAAATGCTAAATAGTGATTTCTTTGTACATCTGAGATTGGTGACCTTCTCTTCTTGATGTTAGAAACCCTATCAATGTCACAGTGTTACCTGTTTTATTTTTCTGGCTCCTCAAGTGGCTCAGCCCAGAGAGCAGAGGCGAGTTTGGTTTGCTGATGGGATCTTGCCTAATGGAGAAGTTGCTGATGCAGCCAAATTAACCATGAATGGAACTTCCTCTGCAGGAACCCTGGCTGTGTCACATGACCCAGTCAAGCCAGTAACTACCAGTCCCCTATCAGCAGAGGTAAGAAAACAAAACAGCAACTAAAGTTGAGTACTTACTTTACTCAGCACTGTTCTGCCTCTGTCTTGTCTTTCTCTAGGTTGACTGACCTTTCTTTGGAACGCCATAGACTTCAGATACAGCTTAGTGCATGTGTGTGTATGTGTGTGTGCATTCTTGTGTGTGTGTCTAGTGGTAAAATAAATGTGGCAAAACCAGTTGTTCTTGTTTGTTCTATATTTGGAAGTTTTTTCAGGAGAAAGATCCTTATAAAGGTTGTTCTCAGGTGAGCTCAGTCTACGTACTGTAGCTAGAGGCTGTGCTAGAGCGAATCCTGGTCCCTTGATACCTTGATTTTCAAAGCATATTCCCCAGGTTCTGTGGTAGCTGCCAGGGAGTTGCCGTGGTGAGGAAGGGCCAGGAAATATGAATGTGGCTGAGGAATCCTTCTATTCCTTTGTCTTCAACCCAAGCATCTCTACTTTTTTCTGGTCTGCCTGTTGTGTTTCCAAATAAGACTTTTTAAAAGGATTCTAAAGCTTAAAAATAAACCACTGACTTAATGGATGGTAGACTCATAATTTATGTAAGGAAACTAGCTCGTGCTGTGATGTCACATTTACTTTGTCTCTATAGGATACACTGGTCACAGTTTGGGGGCTAATTTTCAGAAGGGTCAAATACTAGCTACATTTTTTTGAGTCTGTGAAAGAATAGAGCCACCTAGGACCATAATTGGAAAGTATACATGTAGGATCGTTTATACAGTGGGTCCCTTTCTTATTGCTGTTTGCCCCATTGAATATGGTGGTCAAGATTATAATAAGGTGATTAGTTCCAACTAAGTATGTGTGTCTGGCTTTTTTTTAAAATAAAATAAGAGGATCAGAGTTTGGATAAAGTTTTTACTTCTGAAGTTTTCATGGTTACTGTTTATTTACATTTATGTTCAGTAATATTTTTCTAGAAATTTACATAATTTGCGGATTTGGTTATAATTGAAATTGTGCATTATTAAGATTAGATTTATTGACATACAGAGATAAATTTCCTGTTTGGTGAAGGTACATTAAACCATGTTACTGTCTTTAAATATGTCTAAGTCTGTTTTGGGGGATTTTTCTGTGGCCGCAGAGGACAGCAGCCAGAACTGTATGACTTGTTCTTCTTCGAATCTATACAATGACTTTGTCAAGAAAATTTTTTTTTCTCCAGTTGTTTATGTGGAAAAATTTCAAATCCACAGAAGAGTTGCAAGAATAGTACAGTGAACCCCCATATACTCTTCACCCATATTCACCAATTGTTGCCATTTTGCCACATTTACTTTACCCCTACACACACACACACACACACACACACACACTGTTTTTTGAGGAACCATTTGAGGATTAGTTGCACTTTATCACTTAATACTTCAGCTCATGTTTCCTAAGAACAAGTGATTTTCTTACGTAAGTACAATATAATTATATGAGAAAGAAATTTAACATATAATTCTATGTATTATCAAATATATAGTCCATATTCAGATTTCCCCAATTGTCCCATGATGTTCTTTATTCTTTCATTTATACACATGTGTGTGTGTGTGTGTGTGTATATATAAATTTTTTTATTAAAGTCTTTTTTAAAAAATTAGCATACCATCAAGGATCACAATTGCATTTAGTTCTCATGTTTCTTTGATTTTCTTTAATTTAGAACAGTTCTCCCACTTTTTTGTCTTCCACATCATTAACATTTTGGAAGCATTTAGGCCATGTTTGGCATAAAGTCCTTAATTTCTGTTTTCTGGGTTTTTCCTCATGATTTTAGTTTCAGATTAAATATTTTTGGCAAGAATAATACTACCATAAGTGATGGTCATTTCTTAGTGGAACACATCAAGAAGTATCTGTTTGATAATTGGTTAAATTGATGTCTCCTGTGTTTCTCCACTGCAAAAGTAGCTTTTCCTCTTTGCAATTAAGAAGTAAAGTGAGGGGTGATACTTTGAGACTCTGGGTATCCTGTTCCCCTACAATCTTTCAGTCAATGATTTTACTGTCCTTTATATATATATATATATATGTATATATCTACTTTTTAAAGATTCCTTTATTATTTATTTTTGACTGCTTCAGGTCTTAGTTGCAACACGTGCGGTCTTCGTTGAGGCATACAGGATCTTTCGTTGTGGCCCCTGCGCTCTTTGTTGTGGTGCGCGGGCTTCTGTCTAGTTGTGGCGTGTGGGCTCCAGGGCATGTGGGCTCTGTAGTTTGCGGCACACAGGCTCTCTAGTTGAGGCGCATGAGATCAGTAGTTGTGGTGCACAGGCTTAGTTGCCCCGCGGCATGTGGGATCTTAATTCTCTGACCAGGGATCAAACCTGTGTCCCATGCATTGTAAGGCAGATTCTTTACCACTGGACTACCAGGGAAGTCCCCTGATTTTACTGTCCTTTGACAATCTTACCTAAATCAATTATAACTATAGTGTTTATACAGTGATGACTTTTTTCTTTCTACAAAACTTCATTTACATCTCTTAAATTATATGATAGGTTCTTTTTTTAAAATTTTTATTTATTTATTTTGGGGGGCTGTGCTGGGTCTTCGTTGCTGTGCATGGGCTTTCTCTAGTTGCGGTGAGCGGGGGCTGCTCTTCATTGCCGTGCGCAGGCTTCTCATTGCAGTGGCTTCTCTTGTTGCAGAGCACGGGCTCTAGGATCACAGGCTTCAGTAGTTGTGGCGCGTGGGCTCAGTAGTTGTGGCGCGTGGGTTCTGGAGCGCAGACTCAGTAGTTGTGGCGCATGGGCTTAGTTCCTCCGCGGCATGTGGGATCTTCCTGGACCAGGGCTTGAACCCGTGTCCCCTGCATTGGCAGGCGGATTCCTAACCACTGCACCACCAGGGAAGCCCCTATGATAGGTTCTTAAAGCATAAATGTTTTGAATGAATGAGGAAGCTCTAGTGAATTACTATTATAAGGAAACAAAGTTCAGGTCAGTTTAAGAGAAACAAACAAGTTAGTTATTTTATTTCTGTGCTCTCACATTGTTCAACACTTTATTTTAATATTTATCTGGTAAAATGAGGGAAAACAAATTCTTTAGGGCCAGAGTTGAATATATTTTTGTCATCTTTATGACCTAATAATAGAGTGCCTGGCACTTAAAAGGTGCTCAGTAAATGAAACAACTTCTTTTCATAGGTGATATTTAAGTAGAAGCCAGATGACCACTTCTTACAATATCAAAAGGTAGATTTATGCATCACTAAATAGCAAGTTAGAATAGGTTACTTTATTTCCTATTCTAAATCTAACTTTATTGATTTACTTCAAATCAGTAATGTTTAGCCAATACAATTTTCCACATTTCCTAATAGGACGATGTACTGAGAACACTGCAAAAATTTTAGCAAAAACCCACTAAAAACTTACAGTACTAAATTATAGACAGTATAGACAGAAATATAAGACATAGGCATTTTTTAAAATAGTTTTAATCTTTATTCAAGTATAAAATATATATAGCAAAGTACTTAAGGAGCATTAATCTTTAGGAAACACATGATGAACATACATATATGTGTGTGTGTCTCTATATATACATATAGAGACACACACCCGTGTAACCACCACCTAGATAAAGATACACAGAACATTTCTATCACTATAGAAGTTTCCTTCATGCCCTTTTTCTGTCAATACCTACCCCCTTTCCCCCAAGGTAACCATTATTCAGACTTGTATCACCATAGATTAGTTTTGCCTGTTTTTGAATTTCATATAAATGGAAAAATATAATATATAATGTTTTGTGTCTAGCTTCTTAAACTCTAATACTTAATGAGGTACTTCCCTGGTGGCACAGTGGTTAAGAATCTGCCTGCCAATGCAGGGGACACGGGTTTGAGCCCTGGTCTGGAAAGATCCCACATGCCGCAGAGCAGCTAAGCCTGAGCGCCAGAACTACTGAGCCTGTGGTCTAGAGCCTGTGAGCCACAGCTACTAAAGCCCGAGTGCCTAGAGTTCATGCTCCACAACAAAGGGAAGCCACTGCAATGAGAAGCCTGCGCACTGCAACAAAGAGTAGCTCCTACTCATCGCAACTAGAGAAAGCCCGTGTGCAGCAACGAAGACCCAATGCAGCCAATAAATAAATAAATTTATTTTAAAAATACTTAATGAGATTTATCTGTGTTGTGTGCATCAAAAGTAAATATTTTTATTTCTGAGTAATATTCCATCATATGGCTGTACCACAATTTATCTATTTTCCTATTAATGGACATTTGGATTGTTTCCACACTTTGGCTATTTGAGTAAAGCTGCTATAAACATTTTTATACATGTTAAACAGTTTTTTTAAAATGAGAATCCTATGTATTTAAAAAATTTTTTACTTATTTTATTATTCATGTGGTTGTGCCGGGTCCTAGTTGCGACAGGCGGGCTCCCCAGCTGCGGCTCGTGGGCCCCCCAGTTGCGGCTGGCAGGCTCCCTAGTTGCGGCATGCAAACTCCCAGCTGCAGCATGCATGCGGCACCCAGCCCCCCAGTGAGGGACCAAACCAGGGCCCCTCGCATTGGGAGCACAGAGTCCCAGCCACTGTGCCACCAGGGAAGCCCCTAAACATGTTAAAAAGTTTTTATATGCTTTTCCTTTAACTTCTTAAAAGCTTTCTTTTTTAAAAATGGAAGTATTATTGATTTACAATGTTGTATTAATTTCTGGTGTACAGCAAAGTGATTCCATTTTTTATATATATATATATATATTCTTTTTCAGATTCTTTTCCTTTATAGATTGTTACAAGATACTGAATATAGTTCCATGCTATACTGTAGGACCTTGTTGTTTATCTATTTTATGTAAACTGGTGTGTATCTGTTAATTCCAAGCTCCTAATTTATCAA